TTGGGGGGGGGGGGGGAGACATCTAAGGCCCTTTATATTCCATGAAATTAATAGAGGCATCACATTGGATGAACACTCATAAACAAATCTAAAAAAAAATCTCTCTTCCTCCACCCCCAATATGTATGCATAAGCTAATATTTGCAGGTCAAGGAAGAGAAAAATGGAAGTTATACGTTTTGCAAGATTAAAAACCTACATGGAAAAAATATTTTTAAATAAAATAAAATTAAATAACAATGGAAAAGGGGAAAACTAGAATGGTATGTGCAAGAGAGAAACAAAGATAAAGGGGAAAAAATCAAAGCAAAATTTGAAGCAAAATGTACTGCTTGGACTCCTAGTTGGAGCATTCTGAAACCACAGTACTGGTGTACCTCCTTTAAAAGTGTTAAGTAGGGGAGGCATTAAAAAGACTCCTATTCCTTCAGTTCAGATAATCTCACAAAAATAAATTTCTCAGCACCAGTTGCATGAAAAAAAAGTTCACTCCTGAATCCAGGAACTAAAAAAAAAAAAAAACAGACATAATATCAGACATAATCCCTTTTAATTTGGTTGCTAGACAAGTGTTACTGATTGTTTCCATGTCTGAACTGCCTGTAGAAGAAGATCTAGAAAAATCATCATTTTTTTTTTTTTTGCCTTAAACTTTCATTCAAGGTTTTCCACTTTCAGTAATAAGTTCAGAATATAGTTCTGCATTGTTGATTTCATATATGTCACAACTATGAGAACGTTCAGGCAAAGGAAAATAGCAAGTCATGAATAGATTTTTCCAAATCTATTGGAAAGTAGAGTTTCTACAGGCTATGGAATGTTTAAAAAACAAATTATTTCTGCAATAAAGACTGTATGAGGGGCCATATTTGCCACATGTGTTACAGGTTGTTTATCAGAGTTTTGAAGCTGAGTAGTTCTTGTTTCATCAGAATCAGTCACCAGAGTTATCATTTTCACCTCTGCTTTATCAAAAACATCAAATCTTTTATATATTTAAATCCTAAAATTTCTGATTCAAGTGAAATTCTTGCAGGCTTGTTTACAGGTTGTAGAATTCAGTATTTATTGACACAGAATTCTGAATATCTTTGTTTTAGACAGAGTACTGTTTTGCTACGAACATGAAATGCTTATTGATTGATCAAGGGATAATGAAGTATCCAGATATGGTCATGCAGTTCTTAAGGGTAAATGCTGTAAATATAGATAATGGATAAACTGACTTCTGTAAAAACATTCTTATCTGCAGTGAATCCTACAATTTAAATTTGAACAAAGAGTATCTTTGTATTTAAATTCACAATAAATCTAAATGGTATCAAACTGTTCAGAAACAAACAGAATTTTTTTTTTCTTTTTTGAGTCTCTTGAGATAATGCCATATGATCATACAGATCATATATTTCAAGGAGAATTCTTACCCCTTTGAAAGTGTGCATTGAAAAGCAGAATTCCTAGTGTCTAAGTCTTACATTTTAGCAAAGTTAAATAAAACTATTTTCAAGCCCCAGATTTCTTTGTATTCCTGCATATTTATCAAGATCCTCCCCCAATCATCTCATACATAAAGTTAATTGGACTTTATGTTCAAGCCTAGCCCTATATTCAAACAGACCAGCCAAGTTTCAGCAACCAGTTTAATGCTGTTCCTTTATAGCTAAGTAAATAGCAATTGTCCTAGAAACATATATGTTTGGAAAACCTGTTCCAAAGGTTACTGGGGTAAATCTGGAAGTGGTTGTTAGTTATTACTATGAAATTGCATTTTTCCTAAGTGTGTTCCTAGCAAAACACACAACTG